GTGTGGCCTTGGTACATATGACGTCATTGGTTTCCCATTGACGTCACAGCAGAGGGGGCTGGGTGCGCGTGGTGACGTAACCGCCGCTTCCTGCCGCGTGTCCTTTACAAGCCCCGCCCCTCCCCGGTGCTTTTCATCTCATCTCTTTTCTGCCCCGCCCCTTCCCCTTCTTGTCCCCTCATTGGTTCCTTCAGGCCCCTCCCCAGCTTCTGATTGGCTCTCCCGGGCCCCGCCCTTCGCTCCTCCCATTTCCCGACCCTGCCCTTTCATTGGCTCATTCAGGCCCTGCCCCTGGTTCCTCATTGGTTCACCGTGACCCCGCCCCCCCGGTCCGTCACCGGATCCTCCCGCCCGGCGCCGCCGCCGCTTCCTCCGGGCCCGCTGCGGCCCCGGCCCCGGGACCCCCTCGGACGCCCGGGACCCCCCCGGGCCCGGCCCCGCCATGTGGCTCTTCTCCCGGGACCCGGTGCGGGATTTCCCCTTCGAGCTGGGCCCGCCCGATGCGGATCCCGACGCGGACCCGCTCCCGGACCCCGCGGCCCCGGCCCCGCTCTGGCGGCTGCTGCGGGGGCGCCGCAAGGTGGGTGGGTTGTGGCGGGGGGGGTCCCGCGTCCCCTCGTGTGTCCCCACCCTGCCCCCGGATCCCTCCATGGCCACGACCCCGCCATCCCCCGTCCCGAGTCCCCCCGGTCCCCACGACCCCCATCCTTCCGTCCCTCCGTGTCCCCACCCCCGGTGTCCCTCGGTGTCCTCATCCCTTTGTGCCCCCGGCTCTCGCTGTCCCCACATGTCCCCCATGCCCCCCGGTCCCAGCTGTCTCTGTCCCCACATCTCCATCTGTCCCCTCATGTCCCTTCTCCCTGCGCTCCCCCGTCTCCGTGTCCCCACCGTGTCCCCCTGCCGTGTCATTACTCGGGTCCCGCATGTCCCCACCGTGTCCCTCTGTCTCCCCCTCCTTTTCCCCCTGATGTCCCCTGACTGTCCCCGTGTCCCCAGGCCGACGGGGCTCCGGTGTCGGTGTTCGCCCACAGCCTGGGCCCGGGGGGGGACCCCGGTGCCACCGCCCTGGCCCGGGCGGGGCTGAAGCGGCTCCGCAGCCTCCGACACCCCAACATCCTGGGGTACCTGGACAGCCTGGAGGTGACAGCACCGGGGGGACAGCGGGGACACCGGCGGGTCGGTGGGGACATTGGGGGGTCGGTGGGGACACCGGGGTAATGAGGGGATGAGGGCGAGTGGGGGGACATGAAGGAACATTGGGGGAATGGAGGGGGCAGGGGACACTGGGGGACAGCGAGGGGACACAGGAGGGACACAAGGACTTGAGGGGACACGGGGGTGACCCGGAGTGCCCCCCCCAGACGGAGCAGTGCCTGTACCTGGTGACAGAGGCCGTGACCCCCCTGCGGCGGCACCTGCGGCTGCACCCCCCGAGCGGGGACCCGGGCGAGCAGGAGGTGGCCTGGGGGCTGCAGCGGCTGCTGGTGAGGGGGGTTTGGGCTGGCTCTCAGCTCTGTTCTGCCTGTTCCACACTGGGGACACAGCCTGGGGACACAGCCTGGGGACATGGGGACACAGCCAGGGGACACAGCCTGGG